AATTCTCTGAAGGAACTTCTTTGGACAATTGCAGCATTCTGCACACCAGACCTTGTCCCGGAATACCCCATTTCTATCGCCACTTCTACTGTCGGATTTCAATTCCTAAAATGACAACACAACGGATTGATACAACAAACAGAGGAAAGAGCGAAAGGCCGCGGGTGTGCTCTCGAGATCGCATGTTGCCATGAAGTGCGGGCGTGTTCCGCAGCAAAGTTCGGCAACCTGAGGCCCCGAACTTGCCTTCAATCAGAAGTTTGTCCGGGAAAATGACCAATCTTACAATAAAATAGGCCTAAATTGCTCGAGCGCCTGTGACTGCCCATAGTGAATGCACGCTGGGCTGATCTGTCATCAAGCAGGCTCAGTGTCTTATATATGAGCTGCTTGTTGAAAAGCATTTCTGCTTCACAACACAAGCAACTGCTGAGCTATAACAACCAGCCACAGTTCTCAAAACATGAGCTTTACCTCCAGTACATGAATGTAGAGCTTCTCTGTTGTCGGTGGCATCTTCAGCAAAATAACATGTTCACGCTTCTTAGGCAGGGCCTTTTCTAGAATCTCAGCACCTCTTCTTTGAATAAAGTCTTTTGTGAGGTCCACCAGAACACTCAGTTGCCGCTTGGCATCAGCAATGATGTCTTCACTTGCATCACTGCCCAATCCTGAACAGCACATCATGTTTCCAGGAATGCTACAAAGACTTTGTGTATCGCTTTACGGTCCAGATACATGCAACTTCTTGTTCTCTCGTGAGCGGATGCCGGCAATCCAGCCGGCTGGCTGTGGTGAGAGGTGGCTTAGTCTTCGGCTGTACCTCTTGGGGATGTTTGGAGCAAATTACATGCTAACCAAATGTTTAGTACTGAACACTGATGCGTGTTTGAGGAATGTCCGGAATTCTGGGTTGGTGCCATTTCTATTGACGCTTTCATAGCTTTCCTCGTCCCCAGCGGTCGAACTGGCGCAAATGGGCTGAATAGTACTCCCCAAGCCTGTTCTGAAGGGGATACCCTGTGAGGGCAAGGCGCTTGGTTGTAGACACAAGAGACAGTGCCTTGCACTTTTTGGCAGCTGGGTTCCTCAGTTCATGTGCTTCATCGGCTACCACGATTGATGCAGAGGACCGCAGAAGTTTTCGTAAATGTGCATCTTGCTCACAATCCTGACAAATGGCAAGCAAGCAATCAGGCCTTCCTTTTCCTGCTACTCCATAACAAATCAAATCTGTGGTGCTCATCATCACATGGACAGATACATTCCAGTTGAATATCTATATCACATTTACGGGAATGTGCAAATCCACTAATACCGCACACAAAATGCGCAAAAGGCGGCATGTTTTAAAACAAGGAACACGCCTTGAGTTGGGTGACACAAGCAGAATGTTGGGAGAGCAGGATACAAGAATACTGGGCTGGGCGTAAGAACATATTATGCTGCGATACTAATGGAATGGTTGCATAATACCCCACTGTCAGTGTCCATTCCAAACTCGTATTGTTCCATCCCAAGCATTCCACGCTGCATAGCCACATTGGATCAGTTTTTTGGACATTAGTCCCATCAATATGACCAATGCCCTGTGAATAACAACTGCTGAGATTGCAGAAATACAGTGTTGCACAACACTTTTGCACAACAATAACAAATTGAACTACACCAGAGCTGACAGCACAAAATCCAACTATTGTGCCCAACGTGATGCTTCCCCAGGAAGCAACACACCACTCTCAATTCTAAACAGTGTGGGCAACATGAAATACCGACCTTGTCAGTTTTGCTCTTCTTAGATGACACAACCAGGACTTTGTTGGCAAATTGGGTGTATGATATGATCAGAACACTGCCAACATCTTGTGACCATGCTTCCACATCGTCAGTGTGTTCAAACACAAAGACCTGCAAATTACATTCAATATAACGTTCACTCTTCATGAGCATAACTTTCAAAATGTATGCAGATTCAAATGCATTCTCTGTCTGCTGCTTGCCCGAAGGCATCAAACTTGAAGCACACTTGTTGGAGAGTGTTGACAAAGTATTGAAGCAGAAGCTGCGCACAGACAACGCATATCATTGCACAGCGTCAAGCAACATGTTTCTACCATTGAGAAGCAGCAACCAAGGCAGCACCAAAACTAAAAGGACAACTGTCACAAGTATTGCAGACAAAGCACACGATAGTGAGAAACATGTCAGACATCGCATTGACACACAGTCTTCGATGATGCTGCCAGTGGACTCTGCCATATACACTTGGCACCAACAACGCACCCTGTTCCCGTTTGTTGCAACAAAACTGCAACACCTCCACTGCATAGTGGGCTGCTTGAAACTGGGTTGGTTGTGACAATGCCAAAAGAATGATGGCCCAGAAGACGTAAACATTGTGTGCCGTGTTCCCATCTGACAAGCAAGCACCAGCACCAGCCCAAAGCTGCTCTTGGGCACTGCTGTGGTACTATCGACCCTGCCTACCTTTTCAAGCTGCAACTCGGAATCCTTGGCATCATCGGAACGTGGCCTGGGTAGCCATTTGGCAAATTCTGCTTGCCAGTTGTAGACAACGTTTGCAGGTACTACCAGCAGAGACCGCTCGCCTGCTACCACAGTGTGGTAGAGGTGCAAAAAGACAACCACCTGGCAACATCCACGACAAGCAATACGGTTGGACCAAAATGACATAACTTTCAAACCGAGGACCAAACTGGAGCCAAACTGCCCTAAATCTTGATGTGACAAGACTTGGTGGTTGTGGCCAGGCAGCTCAACTGACTCTGCAGATGCCCAACAATATTCCAGTATTTCAATGCATGAAAGCTGGGATCTTGGCCACAGACAGGACAGTCCCTAGACAAAGACCACCGGCGCAATGCTGTTCTGCCACGAAGCCCAATGCAATCACCCAGTGCAACCACATGCCTCACAATCACAAATGTTTGAGTACAACCAAATATATGTGCACACCCTGTTATGTGACTGCAGGCAGCACTCCACCCCACCACATGCCTGCAAGAATATGGAATTGCAGCAGCACACCAAACAAAACAGTTTCCTTCTCCCCCTGACTGCAACGGCTGTGAATGTCAGCAACAAATGGACACACAGGAATGTGACTGACCAGATTTACTGAATGCAACTGACCTGGAGGCTCTTGCCCAAGCCCATGGAATGGGCAAGAATGCAGCTTTGTTCCTCATTTGATGTCATCACCATATTCCTCCATATGAACCGTACACCTTCCCACTGGTGGGGTTTCATAATTGAAACGAACCGTCCTGGGACTACAGGGTTCACACCTTCATGCTGACGATCCTGCACAACAACAATGCAGAACCTTGAGATTCTTGAGTGCTTCAGAGATGTACTGAGACCAAATTGCATCAGAGCTGCTCAAGCACTGTTTCACCCCTGCATCAATGTCGGAGTCCCTATGAACAGGACTAAATCAAACCAACAAAAGTACTTTGGCATTCGATTATGCTATCCAATGCAAAATTCACAGGCAACTCCTCCTGGTGCTGGCACATTGCCCACAGTACCAAGTCAAGGACATTCACGCACCGTTTCATCAAATAGAGGGCGTGGCACAGCAACTCCACAGGTCTCCGGACCTGGCGTGATTTCCAGCAATTCAGAAGGCTTCTTCTGGCGAATGAGAGCCTCCGTTTGCCGAGCAATCTTGTCTGCCTTGCTTCTTCGTTTGGCAAGGGCTTTCTCTGTCTTCCTGGCTGACTCTGCAAAATCGCAAGGCCCAGAATAGCCATCAAGAAAATACGCAATTCCTGATCAATTCACCCAGCCCCTAATTGAAGCTGTGCATCCGTCTGAGATGGAGCAAGTGTCTGACCATGTAAGAAGGCATATTGGTGTAGCCAACAGCACACTGTTACAGCTGAACATTTGAAGGTTTGTGCACACCATGCACAAAAAACTTCTTCAGCCCCCGTCAAATGTTCAGGTGTGAATTTCACACTGTGAAAGCATGCTGTTGGCTACACTGATATGCCTTACATGGTCGCGTGCACTACACACATATAATCTTTGTTCAAAATCTGAGGTTCAGCACTCAATATGCTTCTTTCCATATTGTTCAGGCCATTGTCAAATGCAACTCACCAACTAACAGTGCCAAGCAAGATGCACATGTTGTGCTCAAGTGCAGCACAGAGGTACGGTACAGAGTGCATAAGTACAGTTCTTCTGTCGTGCCCTTCGCATTTGCACAGAACATGGTAATCTGCTGAGTCTCAGCCCCCCAAGGACGGTAGCTGCACACAACATATGGCTGCAAATTCATAACACCGCTGCTGCTTGGCGATTCAACGAGAACTCTAGATTCAGGCATTGATAAACAGTGTTGATGAGAAACATGATGACAACAATCACCTGGGAGTATGTTCATCTGTTGTCCTCAGGAATTCATTAAGCACCAGAGGCTGAATCAACACATGGGTTGGTTATCTATTTGCCTGCTGTATGCCCCAAGCAAAGCTGCTTGCCAAGGGTGGTCACAATGAGTGTATAAAAACCAACGCAGCTTGCATCTGTTCTCATAAGCAAGGTACACATGACAACAAAGAACCAGATCATGCAGCAAAGGCATGCAATACCTATAGGCAAAAGTGGATTGCTAGCAATACACTTGTCTTGTGTAGAGAGCAAAGAGACCGAATTGGCCATCTAATTCCACACCTGCCACGATGCTTCGCTCTAGCACCACAGGCTTCTGGAATGCATTTCGATCCCAGCAAATGTTGATCAGCTTTGTTCTGTGAGGTACACTCATTTCGGCCAGGCCTCTTGCACCATGAAAACTGGCAAAAGGTTGCCGTGCCCATCGCCTCAAGACAACAAGCCTTGCCAGTTCCTTCTTACCTTCCTCTGCAATTTCAGTGGCAGCTAAGATCTGTGCCACATCCTTTTCAGCTGCCAATTCAGATCTTTGGCTCGTGTATTCAGCTGCTTGCCCTACCAAAAATAGCCCCACATCAACAAACAAAAGAGAAAACAACAACAAACACAGGTGTAACTCCAGCTAAACGGCGAAAAGATGGAAACAGACACAGCTGCACTGCATGTAATAAGAGCTCTTGGTTTAGGTCCACTTACTCAGAAGTGTCTACTAGTCAAGTCTGTGGCATGAATGGTTGTTGAAACAAGTTTCTTCTGTCTGAGGCATATTCCCCGCCTGCTAACCATGCCACTAGATCTACTGCCCTTGTTCTACTGTTTCCAGTTCCGCAGTATTTTGCTCAGCGTGCTCTTCATGGAGCAAAGTGCAGATGGCATGGCACAGCATGGCATGGAAAATATCACCCCATATTCTTTCCAGTGCTTCAATGCAACATGGGAAGCCAATAGGTACAACTCCAGCCAAAACTGCAGGCTCAAACACAGATGTCACAGGGAACTGCAATGAAGATCAGTCACAGCAGGCGAATGCAGATAAGCTAATAGTCACTAGGACTGTTTCAACAAAATGACTGCATCTCCTACTAAGCAAAATGAATCTCAGCTTTTCTTCATTCTTTTGGTTCACAAGACAGAAGTCAAAAACATTCCCTTCACAAAGACGGTCAACATCAACTTTCTTGTGAGGTGTCTCAAAAACATATGGCACCAAGCATTTCTGGACAATTCCCTTTAATAATTATGCAAACACCCAGAAAAGATGATAAGATTTTCACAAGCACAAACAAAATCCCACACAATGATGCAATTGCTCAGAAAACATATGTGAATGGCGTTTCTGGTCTGTACCTTGAAGAACATGAAGACCCGTTTTGCCAAATTTTTGCTTGTCGATCTTGTGCACAAGTCCCTTTTGAAAATCCGATGCATTCAGGTGCAAAACTGATGGCTGTCTCCCAGCAACCACCACTTCAATGGCAACTTTGTCAACATCTTTTGGTCCCTCTTGACCACCTTGAGACCCTTTGATACTCACGACGATGCCGTGCACAAACAATGACTCAGCTGTGTAGCACCGACTCTGCTGTTGTATTCGCAACAAATCTCCAATGCAGACTTCTTCAGGATCAAAAACAACAGTTGTGGACGCTTCCAGCGCTTCGCATCCCAAGTTGCCACTGCTTTGTCTGTGGTAGTCACCAGAGTAAAGGCCATTCTCACGTGGCTGCTGTGGCTTTGCAGCTGGCGCTTCAGGTGGCTCCTCCAAATTGGCAATGTCCAGCCTAAACCTGCAGCAGGGAAGGACACCAGCAGGACAAGAGATTCGCAAGCTGTATTCGACACCAATATGATCTCTTTCAGAATGCAGGATGCTGGTGCAAAGGCACTCACTGGTATCACAGTTAAAATATCACATCGAATTGTGGGGGCCCCCTTGAAAATGTGCAACACGCCAAAAAAAATCCGCGATTTTCCTTCATCGATAGGCCTACGGACTGGAGAGAACAGCACACGTCGGAGCAGGTGGTAGACACAAGGGTGTGTGCATAGGATGCTGCCCAACAGCCTACCTGGGTGCCAGTTCTATTGCCAGGTGACCACAAAACACAGCAGTACAAACTGGGGGCTGGTGCAGCCCCAGTAGCTAAGACAACATTCTGGATGCAATAGGAGAGCGAGCCACAAGAGATTGACAGGCAATTAAGCTGCTGATGTTGGGTACCTGTGTGCCCTCTATGATCACCAACGACTGCTTGTTGGTTCCCACAAGTTGCAGAAAACAGGCAACAGCTGCGCAAGGTGACTATCCTTTGACCATGTGAAATGGCCTGTGCATGGAAGATATGCTCACCGATTCCTGCTGATGTCTTCTAGGCGACCTTCCAATGCATACAGACAACCCTTGATGATCTCTTTTGTGCTTGGCACGCCTTCACAGTGCGTCTTGACAAACTCTAGGAGTTGGTTCCTCAGCTGTTTCTCTGCATGCTTCAGGCTTCTCTCCCACTCTGCTGTCAATGTGGGCTGGGACCTGCTCTGCTTCCAGATTCGCAGCCCCTGCTGCTTCTTTTTCGATCGGAACTTTTCCCATATTTTTTTCTGCAGGTATAAGTGCAGAGATCGTCAGGGACACAGCGGTTGGATACCACATGTCAAGGAACTATGATGCAGCTGACCGTACAGCATAACAAGCAGGTTTAGAAGGGCATGTGCCAATCAAACCAAACGTAGATCAACCTGTGCTTTGACTCTGAAGAAATAAGCAGGATTGCACCAATAAGCAAATCAGTGACTGTAGTCATCCTTGCAACATTAAGCTGTCAACTATGCCACTGTTGCCCCTTCCTGTTTATCTAAACTGTCTCCAGCACTCTATGTCAGCATACACAAGCCCACAATCCCTTTGCTGCAATTCAGACGTGAACTTGGTTGGCCCCTGTTTCAACATGCACCTCGATCTGGAATACATCATCAACCAGAAATAAATTTATGTGGGCATCAGCTCTGAGCTGTTGTACCCATCTAAGGTTGTGGGAGCTCTGAGGGCTGTCAAATTTTGTGGGACTGAACAAGAACATGCACAAGTTGTTCTGTTTGATGCAATGAGAAAACAATGATGTGGTGAGTGCCTTGGCTTATGTTGCTATAAGGAATGTCAGTTGTGTTCAAGATCCCCTGGATAGCATGCCTCCCACAAACCAAATTCTACCTCTCATATTATAGAGGCACAGTACTCTCACAAAACAGCTACACCAATGCTACTGCTGCAAATATATGCAGCTGCCAGCAACACTAAGCCAAACTCACCTTGCGTTCTGTCATCCCTTCAGCCACACAGCGCAGAACCTCAATTGCCCTGCCAGCAATATCCACTGCCCGTGTTTGGTTTCTTTCCATCAACACCTCCAAAAATTTGCCTTCAGCTTTCTTCTCTGCGTCGTTTTCAGTAATGGGCAAGTCTGCTGCTTTGAGGACAGCCAACCAGCCCAGCTGAAGGTCATCTAAAGTGACCACAGCGTTCTGGGGGCAATCCATGACTTTCTCGCTCTCTGCCATGTCGTCACTGGAAGCCTCTGTTGTGCAGTACTGAGAAGTCTCTGGAGACGTGCAAGTGCCACATTCTGACTCCCTTTTTTGCCGTTTCCTTGGTGGGCTGCTACCCTGGAAATACACAGACAACTCTGCTTGGTCCCTAAGGTACTGCTGATGCCAGTTTCTGGCTTCAGCATGTATTGCAACCCATGAATTGCACATATTCAAACAGTTTTGCCAAGCAATAAGAATGAACTACCAGTTTTTGCCGTGCAGGGACGGGACAAGTGGTGAAAGTATACACCACGATAAATCGACATTCTGATAGCCATAGTCCACACGAAGTGGCACTGACATCTGTGGTGCCACTTGCACAGACTGGGCAACTCTCCACAACAGGCAAAATGGTGAAAACAACAACCTGGAGCTCACTGAGAGCATCACATCTCAATAAACTGCTGATTGGTGCTTGTAGTTGCTTGCAGAGATGCATCGGTGGTAAGCCAATACCTCCAAAGCCAGCACTAGTGTAGCGCTATTTTGCTTGTCTCAACGGCAGTGCTTTTGCAAGCCACAGCAATTTATACATGCCTCCTCAGTCTCATAGTCACTTGAAGCTTGACCCCACACTGGATAAACCAGAGCTGAACCCTCAGATGCGTCGTCATAGAGTGGAATGGTGCCACTGTTTGCTACAGGTACTGCCTTTGAGCCATCTGAATCAAAGCAGTACTCCTCATTGCTCTCTTCCCAGCCCCCCTCTTCCTCCTCTTCTTCCTCTTCCCCTTCACTGGTCTCCCTGTCATCACCTTCCTCAACTGCTGTTTGGGCAGCCCGGTGCTCTGTCAAGTCTTTCTCCGATTTCCGCATTTTTATCCTCCACTCCCTCCAGACACGCTTGATGTATGCACGATTGCAATGAAGTGCCTTCCATCTGCACAGCTGGGCAAGTTGGTCTGATCTTGTTGGCAAATACAAGCCAACAAGGGGTAGTCTGACTTCACCAATAGCCAAGTCTCGCATCAACTCTTGCAAGCCAAGGGGCAACATCAACAAGGAAAATAGGAAGCTGAGTTCATATGCAGCACACAAATAAAGTGTATTATGTGAGAATCAAGTTCACCTGAATGGAGAAGCACATATCCGCTATGGGATGTGCACAACACCTTTCATGCCCAAGGCATTTCTCGTGGGTGGTATTGCTAATTGCACTCTTTCAAAGGGACACAGGCAAGGGAAAATTCTCCAGTCATTCACGACAAAGGCTGAAAAAGAGTGTTGCCTTCAGGATTTCTCTCAGGAAGTTCTGCCACAAGCTCAGCAATATCTGCATCTGGTGATGGATAAATCAGCATCTTCAACAAATGCAATAGGGAAATAAGCGAGAGCTGCTCAGGTGGCAGGTAGTTAAAGGCAAATGCAAAGTACAAATGGGATCAACAAGCAGAATGTGTGAGTGTAAAGGAAGACTATGGCCACCTGTACCTGGGTTGTTTGTAACGTCCTGAAACTTCTGCTGAGTCGGTATACAGCTCCTTCCCTTGGGAATTTAGGACAGCACACAGGATACTGGTCACATTCTTGCTCGATGCCACTGGTCCAAGGCAATGGAAGAACTCCCAATTAGGGGCACGATGGCAAAAGCCAACATAGAAGCTTGAACATTAATAATTAAACACAGCACCCTTTCATACATATAGGTGCTCACATGGCAGCCAAATCTGCACCTAGATGCAACAATACAGCAACACGACAGTGACAACTGTCCTGACTAGCTGCAAGGGAATTCCTGTGACAAAAGATTTACAGAGTCTTGTCGCTACCCACCTTGAGCCGAACCGAGCCAATACAAGTAGAACACTTTTCCAGCTGATGATATTGTCAAAACCTCTCGTTGCCTTGGGCAGTCGTATGGTAGCCCTTGGTGCACATGATGCCAAATCAATGAGTTGATTGCAATCTATCTCATGGACTGCCAATCTAACGTGAACCACCAAGCTACACAGATGTGGATCTGTAGCGGCAACTACAACCGTCAAGCTAGGCAACGAATACAAAACAATGCTGGAAAGCAGCAACCTAATAAGCGGCCAAATGGTGCACTTGTTCGAGGAATCAAGGTGGCATCGTTGTACTGCACAACTTACAACTCCTGACCAATGCGCATTTCAAGGGTTGTGGCCGCAGCGTGCTCAGTGGATTGGGTCACTGTGGTCGTGGCCAGGGCATTTTGCAGCAAGTTCCCACTGGTGTTAATTGTGCGTGTGGTGTGCCACGGAGTCTACCATGTCTTCCCAGCGACCTTCGGG